CGATTTTCAGAAGCTATTACAAGTTTGATTTTCATTTGCTTATTGCAGCTTGTTTAATATATTTCTTATATGGTACGTATACAGGATACTATGTACTAGCATATTCCGGGATAACTTTTTATATTATGGTTTCTTTCTTGGATTATGATTCACCTGTTGATAGTATGAATGGTTCTGGTGGGGAAGGACAGGGTGCTGACAGGCCTATATTACAAAAGAAAATACTAAAGCCTAAGCATAATAGTACAGCATCATGTGCACATTGGTACAATAGATAAATTAATAGTCAAATCTCCTACTATAGTAATACATAGTTCTGATATTATCAATGAGCAGGTGAATGAACTTGATGTTTTTATGGGTGAAATGAAGAATGAATATGAAGAACAAGAGAAAATGGAAGATGAGTGTAGCTCGTAACACAATAAGGTCTACACTGCTCTATAGACATATAATTAACTTTCGTGAATTACTTTTATGTATATTGTATCATCTGTTTTATGTAGCATGAATTTCACTCTGGCAGTGTATATACTACCTTTCTTTTTTCTGCTTCTTTTTTTAAATTTGTTCGTGCTATATTGTATTGGTCCATGTTATTAGATACTTCTAGTCATGTTGTATGTTCCTATGTAATAGCACATAATAACTCATTCTGATAGTATTAGAATAAAATCTAATGTGAACATACCCTCAACTCCTACTTTTAATTGCTCGGACTATAGTTGTCAAATTATGGGTTATTTTTATTTGAAAAAAAAAAATGAATCATTGTCATGATTGTTTTCAATTAAAACTATACTTAGGCTTTCGACATTGATAGATATTTTTATATGCTTTCTACGTCAAAGTAAATTCGAAAATCATCAATCATGTTATGATCATCAAAGATGAAGATTTATCAAACACATAGACAATGAAGGACTATGACATTATATATCCTATCACAATGTTGATAGTATAGTAGTCAAAACAACAAGAAGAATATAGAAAAGTTTTGACTTCTACTAACAACATTAAAATAATATTATGAACAAACTAGACAGTTATTCAATTATAATTTTGCATTGCTATATTTTCATGCCTATCAAAAAATGTAACACTTCTATATTACCAAGAAGGAAAAAAAATAACAATATACATGTAATATTTAACTCATAGGAACAAACAAAATGATGAATTCGATAAAATATATTGATATGTATATTTTATATACGATTGTAAACATACGAAGAATGAATATTTCTTTGAGAAAAATGTGTAAACGTTGAAAAGAAGAGATTCTCAAGCTGAACAAGGTTTGAAAAAAAATAAGAGCTTTTTTTGACGATGAAAATTTATATTTATGATTATGATCAATTATAGATAACATCAATACCTTAGTATTATGTATAGTGATGGATTATACCTTAGTTATTTGACATTTGAAGGTCTTCTATTAAGTAACTTAAAAAAGATTTTTTTTTTTTTTTGATAATCTCGCGAACAATTTTTAGTATTGATTCATTTTTTTTCTCAACACATTGTCGGTATGAAGGATGTTTTTAAAATAAAACAGTCAACATATTCTAACATCTTGGTACCATGTTTATTAATAGTACTCTTTTTTTTCTAAAGAATAAAACCTGTCACTAGGAACATTTAACTTTCTCAATACTTATATAACTTAAAAAGAAATAAAGAAAAATTAATTTTTTGTTGTCAAACTTATTTAATTCAATTGCTTTTATTGATACTCGAATACTTTAAATGAAATTCGTTTACAGTGAAATATACCAGTAGTATAGTTATTAGTCTCAAGCGAATTCATGATAATTGTTTGCGAAAAAACAGTTTAAAGTAGAATAGCAGTTCAGTGCACATTCTTTATTTTTTCTTTTTTTGTCTATGATTTCAAAAAATGCTTTTAAACCTTTATGAGATAATAAATACATTCTCAAGGTCAGAATATGAACACTCTATGAAACAAATCTCGATTTGTATCTTTAAAAACTCTTTTTTGTTTCAACTATGAATGCACTGCTTTGTAATCAAATGTTTTTAAAATTCTAGTAGAAAGTGTAAAGATGAAAAGATCTTTTAATTAATACACAACGAGATTTTATCGAATATGTTCCTATTGTGGAAAGATCTCTTGATGTATGATCTGTGTCAATGAGATCCTATGACCGTTTGAAGATTTTTTTTAGATTATGCTGCAAAAGAACATTGAGATGACTCAACGAATATGTTTTCAAAAGTTTGCTAACTCAGAATTGACACATCTCTAAGACAGCCGAAAAAAAATATTGTCTATATTGAACGTTGGTATTATTATGGTAATAGATATTGAAAATATTCATAGGTTGCAGCAATTATTTTTAAAAAATCGTTTCTCAGAAAAGTTCTTCTAATGTGTCAAAGGTTTTAGTTTGTAACTTTCTGCGTTCACAAACTTATGAAGTTTTTATAACAGACTTTAACATTAAAAAAATGGTACCATAAAAAAAAAATATCACACATCGTCCATTGAGTAAAAAGTTAATTATATGTAATTATTTTATTAAGTTCTTTTATTGATGTTTTTTCTTTTAGTATTGATGTATTTTCATGAATAGAATTGTGAGAGAGTATTGCCATCAACAATTTGTCAAGTATTCATGTAAATCAATTTCATTCTGCATCATTCTTTTCATTGAAGGAAAAAAATCTTCGCATAAAAACACATTACATTTATCCTAAGAAGTAGCATTTCGATGACATATTTCGAAAATATGACTCTATTTTTATACGAAAAAAAAACACCAAATGCGTAAGTTTTATTGTACATATTAGCTCAGCTAAAAATATACACATAATGTGAAAACTTTGTTTGCTATCTTACATGATCAGTTTTTCGTTAACCTATAAAACGAGAGTACTGTAGTTATTGAAAAATTGAGGAAAATATCAGCAGTAAGATTGACCTTGCTTTCAATTAATTTTATTTAAAAAAAAAAAGAATTGTTTAGACTTACATCCATTTGGTAGTCGTCGAGCTACTGAATTAGTATTCATGTTACATGTTGTCACCGGCTCAGTTGGCATTTCGTTATATTGAGAAATATTATAGATGCATTGTCTTTTGTAATCTATTACGTTATATTGAATTCTGAATCGGATCATACATTGATCGATCATACATTGTCTGTTGACTCACGTGCGTATTTTATGTAAACATATATTCGTTTGCATGTACACACGCACACATATACAACTTCCGATCTATTATTTTGTCTTCCCATTCCATTGAAGGACTATTAAACTATCGTTGATTGTGACATTTATATGTTAGATTAGACTTAAGTCATTCAAAAATCTCTTTTGATTTTTCTATACCAAAAAAAAAAGAATTGTTTCTTTTTTGTTTTTTGTATTGAAAAAGATATACACAAATATATAAATAAATATCTATGTGAATGAGATATAAGAACAAACAAAGAATCGAGTTCTTGGATTGTTTTATTTTGACAAAATTCATCATATTTCAATTGTTTATTTTAAGCATAGAAAAAAAAATACATTAAAGATTCTATTATTCCTATATAATTAATAAATAATAGATTAACGTTTACACTAATCAATTGATTCTTTAGGAAAAAGTTTCCAGGTCGTAAAATATTGATTTTTTTTCTTGTAATGTAAATAAATCGTAGGTGAAAAGCATTATTATTTCATGTTTTGATCGGTTTAATACAATAAAAGGTTGTCAATAATGAATATTGAAAAAAATACAACTGACAAGGTAAGCTAAGACAGCCTATAATTAATTGCTTCAATAAGGAAAAAAGCATAAGTAGGTGTACACCACGTCAATACATCAGAAAAAAAACCCTATATTCAATAAGAGAAAAAAAAGGGAAACCGGTATTAACCAACGAAAATGATGATAGTATTTGAAATGCATCATTGATTTTTGCAAAAAAAATTTCTTATATAAAATATTATATTTTTCTCTTTTACACTATCGATACTATTTACTTTTATAATAGGTAAGAGCGCAATATTACAATCATAAATATATATCAATATCCATATTCATATATATCAATACATGCAATTGTTATGCTTTTGGTTTTTTTTTTACAGATATATTTCCATTGTCTCCTACTTCAAATGAAGACTGTCACGGTATTATTCGCATTCATCTTAATACTTTCTTTGGTATTAATAACTAATGCAAATCCAACAGAACGAGTATGTAGAACTAGTTTAGTTAATGCAATAATTTCTGTAATATTTATAATTTTTAGCATCTTAACGATGAACTAAAGGAACAACTTTTAGATTATTTACGTGAAGCTAAACGAGAAGACTTACTTCAGAAGAAAGCAAGACTTTTCGAAGATCAAATCGAAAGACGACGTTTACAAAATGAAATTGAACGACGTCTAGTTAATATGTTCGAAACTGATGAAGATAATAACAGTGATAGTTACAAAACATTCAGTAAGATTATTTTTCTTCAGCTTCGAATGAAAAATCTGAATTTCTTCTTTTTTGTTAGATACTCGAAGAAAAATTGTTCACGATTGGCAACCAGTTTAAAATCATCTTAAATTTATCGACTTTTTGTTCTCAAAAACAACAAAATAACTCATCTATTTCTTCTTTTTTTTTATATATTTCAGCTTAATGTGTATTTTTTGTATCATTCTTTATTAAATGAACTTACTCATCTTTTTATGTAAACATCTATATTAACCTTTTTTTTTTTGTTATGTGGTGAAATTTTCAGTTGGATTGTAATGTATCAAGCATCATGTTTATCTAGTTATTTTTTTGAAAATAAAGCATACTTTTAAGTAAACTAGTTAAAAAATAATTTTGATATCTTTGATTGTTATATGTTCATAAGTAATGATGTCATAAATTTTTATATTTAGCATATTCTTTCAAATCTATACTATTATCATCATTTTATCTATTGTAGCTAGTTAACTTAAACGTTTCACAGTGAGGAGCAATGTCCAAAGAGGATGTCAACATGACTTATTCTCTGTACAGCTCATATTTTTCTTCATGGAAATATTATATGAGTTGGTACTAATCCGAAAAAACTTATTTACAAAATCATGAAATTTGAAAGAATTTTATTAGAAAATTCTGGTAGAGGTTTCAGCAGTAATACTTTGTTTAAAAAATTTTTTACTTGAAAAATTAACAAACTATACATTCATTCTATACAGCCTTTTTTTTGCACTAATTCTGAATATGTCATCACTTGTGTTAAACAAAAACTTTCAAAGCAAAAGATCATGAATACCTTGAAAACTTAAATGTTTATTTTAGAAAACCTCTAACTCAGTCTAGAAGCATTTCAATATCTTCACGATAGCTGTATAGATGTAACAAATAGAAAAAATATTATATGAAAGTTTCATTTAGTTTAAAGCAGTGCTTAAGTGTACGCACTCTTTACACTGAACATGTCTTCTGATAAAACAATTAGCTAAAAACAGTGTCATTTTTTCTTGTGTTAGAACAAAGTATTTACTGTCGAACGATAAAGCGAGAACTGTGCTTTAAGAATCTGTATGATTTGTTATTTAGGATTTTCTACTTTCTTTAGAAAGAGATTTTTTTCTAAGATGACAAAAATTTAGTCATTTCTTTAAGCCTAAAGTTTTTCTTATGCTTTGAAGAACTAGGATTATTTATTGTTTCTAAAAATTCAGTCATTAGACAAAGTATATTAACTATAATTCAAATCACGAAAACAACTATTTACATTTTTTCACGAAATATTATCCACTTTGTTGTCCACTGTATGTCTGTCAGACTAAAATTTCGTAAAAATGATCTCCATTAATAGAATCAATGTTCGCAATGTCATAGTACTTATCCACTATAAAATGGTATAAAGTAAATTTATTGCCAATTTTCATCAAATATCAAAAGACTATTACGTAGTACTAGATAATTTAAAATAGATTAAACACTTTTAAAGTATATATTACAATGAATATTTAATTTTCAAAATAGAAGATTACATTTTATTGAAAAGCTACAGTCAACCGATTATTATTAGTAAGTTATTTTTCAAGAGAAACTAGGCATACAAACACGCAAAACGATTTAATAAACTTCTATCAAGATTCTTTTTATTTGTATATGTCAAATAACATAACAATTTATTTGTACATTTACAAAGACCTTTATGAATTCATGCAAATTATTCTATTAATTTTAAACTATTTTATATTTACAGTTTAAGTGACATTCGAAGTTATTTTGTCGGTTGTATGTATACTCTGTCATTGATATTTTAAAATGCATAAATTATTTTCTAGACTGAATGGTTAGAGTCTAGAAACTATAATTTTTCTGTGTCTTTCTATCTACCTGTCTGTAACATAATTACAATAGAGTATCTGTAGTATGAATAATCATCTGTCTACTATGATTACAATGATAGACATGAGTGCGTAGGATAACAAAAGAGGACACCTATGCATTAGAATTACAGTTAACCAGGAATGAGTATCTTCGAACGGAGGGTACAAAACCCATATACACTCAGTATTTCGTGATATGAGACTATTATTTTGCTGTCACATATGATTCAGTGTCACGAATGTATTTTTCCCTATTGTATGTGAAAAAATATGATTACATTGTTGAGTCAATAGTATTCATCAATAAACAACAAATTTACGGTTGTAAACAACTGTAAATCGTCGTATTGAAACGCTATTAACAGTAATGATCACTTGTTAAACTATCGAATAGTTCGAACGATTGTTCAATGCTGTGTACATGAGAATAAATAATTATTAAGAGTTAGAAAATGCTTCTGGACATAAGTTCATGATGAACTAAAATGATATTATTTAGATTCTATGATATTGATGTTTTTTTGTAACACAAATAAGTATTTAGAACTAATTGTAAATACTTATATTGATTCCTATGTTATATATATTTTATTTATAGTGTACATTTCATTCTAAATATAAAGAAGACACAAAATAATATGAATAATAAAAATGAAGCTTTTCTATTTCAACGTTTTTCTTTTAAATATTGAAATTCTGAGCAGAATCTCTTATAGCAATACACTTACGTATTTAGTCTTAATCATGCATATATATCTAAATATTGTGATTGCTCATGATCTTGGCTAGAATGCACTATAGTTTCATAAATATTTTGAATGGTATATTATATGTCAACGATCACTGTGTACAGTAGGATGAACAATGTTGAAACAACAAAGCGTTCAAAAAAAAAATAGAAATCGTGAGTGTAATCATATATAGAATTTTGTAGAGAATGGATTGCTCTACAATATTCACTAGATCCGAATTCTTACTTCTTTTTATTTGAGAGGAGAGTATTTCCATGACGTATTACTTACGTTGTATAACAGTGAATTTCAATTTTGATGAATATTTCAGCGTTTGTAGAGTTTTTTATTCTAAGCATTTATTCTCATAGAAGTAGACTCAAGATACTTCTTAGCAGTACAAAATCAAAAAAAAACTTCTAAAAAACGTTTCTTTTTTTTCGCAGTTTTGACTAATAGGCTTCGATAGTTGACTTCACTAAAACAACGTGAAAAATAAAGTTCAAGACTATATACAGGTTTCTAATGAGACGATACATCGAACCATATTAAACTTGACTTGAGTTATGGCAAAAATTGATTCTAATATGTTTGATTCATTGCTCACGAGCTTCTCCATACAGTTCTGTTTTGCGACCGCGATTGTTTGATATGATGACATAGTATATACAATAGTGCGCATCACTTACTCTATGATCTAAATAGAATAGAATTCTGAGCGTTGTTTGGATGGCTAGAACAATGAGTCAATTTTGCAAAGTAATTCTTTCACTTACATAATTTAAGATGTGCCAGATGCAGAAATCTATGGCTGTTATGAATATTTAGCTCTGATTTGTATGCAGTTTGCAAAGTTTTTAATTCTAAGCACTTCGATAAAAAATGTTTTTCAAAGATCTTTTATTTCAACGAAAACAAGCTCAAAATACGTTCAGTATTCAAAAATAAAAAACTTCCAAAACATTATATTCACGAATTCCACATTTTCAAATGCTTTGTTGCCTCAAGAGTAGACTTCTGCGTGACCACGTTTTTTCAGTCACGTCACGTCACGGTCACAAGCTGCCTGGTCACGGTCACGTTCATAGTCACGGAGTTTTTTTGAAACTAGTCACGATCACGGTCATAGTCACGGAAATTTTTCGAAACTAGTCACGGTCACGTCACGGTCACGGAAATTTTGGATTACTAGCTGGATTTTTGTGCTACAAAATCAAGATTTATATTGATTTCACATATTTTCTCTGTAAAAAACGCAGAAAACACGTAAATCAATTAAAATCTTGATTTTTTTTCACAAAAATTAGATTTCTAATCTCAAAATTTTTCACCATTAAGTCACGATCACGAGCTATTTGGTCACGGTCACGATCCCAGTCACGACAATTTTTCGAAAACTAGTCACGAGAGGCCGTGACCGTGACCGTGACCGTGACCGTGACCATTTTGCAGAAGTCTACTCAAGAGTCTTCAATCGTATTCATATAGTGATTTTTAACATATAATAATAGACGACTCCAAACATTCAAAAAAAAACCATAGTACTTTGAATCCAAGATCAGAAGTGATAACGATATATATATAGTCAAGAGTTAAAACATGGAATTCGAAGAATTTCTTGTGTTGAATTTTTTCCAGTGCAACCTAATTTTTGTAGTTTCATATAAAATCATGATATATATCACATTTCATATATGCGTGCTCATGAAATTTAACAAAGTAGTGTTTTAGATAAGTTTAGGTTAACAAGACCTACAAACCCTGGGTTTTTTTGAAAACAGCTTATAGCATGTCACATATCTCTCTCTCTCTCCTATCAATCTATGGCCAAGTAAAATGATCCTCAATGGATTTTACTTGTTTATTAAGGGGGCCCCCTCCTCAGAAACGAACCTTTTAATTTTTCCATGGAATTCAACCAAAATTTCAGAGAATGTTAGTCTTAGCTAGAGTAGATCATAGTTAAAATATCTCCTGAAATCTGCGAGATATTCATGAGTTATAGTCAATTTTTTTTGTCAAAAATACCTTGTACACGGGCAAGGTTTTCACAATCAGGACACGAGCTAACATGGCGGGGCTGTTTTTAAGTTGTAGAGTACCCTTGGCGCTAGGTCCTAATAGAGCTCGATTTTTGAAATTCTCTTCGTTTGTTCTATAAAAAATCTTCTCCAAAGAATTCTGGAATTCATGTCCAAAAAAATTGCTGAGAAAAATGGAATATGTAGGTTTTTTATTTCACCAATAGAGAATTTCAAAAATTGAGCTCGATTAGGATCTAGCCCTAACTGTCCTCTATGCAATAAAAAACAAAAATTATCACTCCTATATTGAGTCGTTATGGAGTAAGGTTTGCCCGAGCAAACAGTATACTAGAAAAAGCGGATTTTAAGAAAAATGAAAAATAAGTTTTTAAAAAACCTTATTTTTTTCCAATATGAAGGTTCAGAAAAATTTATGTAATATTCTTAAAGCTCGTCGTAAAATCAATCAACTATAGTGCATTCAAGAGTAGACACTTTGCTCTATCTAACGAGTTATAAATCACAAAATTGATGAATTTGGCAAAAACTGACTTTGTCTGAGGGGGGTGTTGGGTCTTAAAACTAAGCAAAATTTACATTTAGTAAGTTTTTGGTTGATAACGTATTATTTTTCATTAGCAGTATGATTTATATTTTCATTAGAAATCTTCTCTCTAGTCATGAAGATCTTTTATATAAAAAAAAAAGAAGTCTTTCACAAAATATATATTTTTTTTTTATTGAAATGTGATATTCCTTTTTGAAATACTCCTATTAAATTTTAACAAAATCTCCTTGAAATCAATTATTAATATACTTTATTTCAGTTTAAAATATAAACATACTTCCTATCCTATTTACTTATGTATTTTGTTACAAATAAATTATAAATCGAATTTATGCAAAAATCAATTTATTTACAAACTATAAATGAAAATGTTCACATTTGTTCTCTTAACTATTTTCAATAATCACTATCGTTCAATAAAATTAATATTTGAATAGAATATTTATCAAGTTTACTCTCTTTTTTTTAAACATCGAACAAATCTATTTTTGACTTGGCTGTAATAAAAGAAGACGTAAACTTGGATAGAATGTATTTGATTTTATTGTCAATAAAACTCAACTAAGTTATATGTTTTATATCAATTCTATTCATTGATTTTAAAATATTCTTTCGAATAAATTAGAACAATTTTATTTTTTTAGTAAAGAAGCCAATTCATCATTGTTATTAATGTCAACTATTATAATCGATGTTAGTTAAAAAAAACACACATGTATATCTATATACACATATATATTGTCCCATTGTCTGCTTGTTATTGTTGTAAACATACATGCACAAACGAACAAAAAAGAAGAAGGAAAATGCCATGAAACTCACTGCTAGAGAGGAAATGAGACTAGGAGAAAATGAAAGAATCAGATGAAAAACAAAAAAAAAAGAGGTGATATTCAAAAATTTACAAGACTCTATGAGAAGTAAAAAGATAGAAGGAAGAAATGAAGGCTACACCGGTGTCTCGCGTATCCATCTAGTAAATGTTTGTTTTATATTTGCAAGAAATATGTGACGAGCAAGCATTGTTCGATGATCATCATTATTATTTGTTGACATTGTTGATAGTAAAGTTACTTTTTCGTTATTTAAATTTTCATGTTCAATTTTTGAATGATTTATTGTTGTTAATAATGATTGATTTGGTTGAGTTTTGTTATTCATGATTTCCGATGAATTTAATCGAATTATATTATTAGAAAATTTTAAAGTTTTTACTTGTGAAATATTGTCATTTGTACCTTTAAAAAAAGAAAAGAAAATTGAATTAGTTAACAAATATATTTATATATATTATAATTATTAAAATAGTAAATATAAGTCATTAGAAAATAGAAATATTTTAAATAATATATTAGTATAAGCAAGCAATAATCAAACAAAGCAAGAAGAAGAAGAAGAAGAAGATTGATGATAATATTGACAATACTAAATACTAATATTAAAATTTAATAGAGAAATAATTTGGTTCGAAAGAAATGTGATCATAGATTTTGGTATCTATTGTGAAAACAGAAAGACTATGGAATTTGTATTTACCCTTGCTATACAACTAGATATAGCATTCATTATTATGGTATTTATTCTAGAATAATAGCAAAATTGAGAACATAGCTCTAACCAACAATCATATTGTGTATAGATGAAAAGGAGGCGAATACCTCACCCAAGAAAAAAAGAAAGAAAAAGCAATAGTAATAACAAATGTAATCAATTATTAATGTAAAAACAAAAAAACCATAGTGTAATATAATACATTGTTATCTTTTCATAATAGATATATATATATATATTCAATATGAAATTACAAATAGAAACCACATACAAGCATCAAGCAAGTTGCATTAATCAAAATCAGTCAGTCACTGTTAAGAGATAGAAGAGAAGCAATCATGAAATAAGAAACGAGAAAAAAAATTAATAAATCATGTTTTTTTTTTGTTTAAATATAAACTTTCGTACTACTTGCTTCTTTTAGTGCTTGATATATTTCTTTTTATTATACTTACATATAATAAACGTACGCAGACAGTTATTTAAAGAATAATGCAATGAAGAAAACGATAGACACGTGAAGATGATTTTGGTAGCGATAATGATTTAGGTGATAATGATGATGATGATGATGATGGTAGTGGTGGTAGTGGTGGTGGTGATGATGGTGATGATGATGGCGTTGATGATAATTCAATAGGAGGAGAATCGGCTAAATGATTAGACGAATTAATAAGTGTCGTCGAATTACTTCGAGCTAATTTTGTTGAATATAGTTCATCATGGGTTACATAAGCATTTGAACTAAATGATCGACGTAATGGCATATCAATATGAGGTTTTTCATAATCTTGTAAATCATTTAATTCAATATTTGTTTTAATATTTTTATCATCTGTATCTGATGATATTGATACATCATCAATAGGTGATTTTTCTGTTTGATCATCTGAATACCATGAACCAGTTCGATGACGTAATGATGTCATAAATGTTACAGCTCGTACTTTTGCCCAAAGTATACTACTAGTAGTCACTGTTTTCATAGGTCGTTGTCGAAGTTTAGCAAACCACCATTGTGGTACAAGTGTTGATTGAACAAACATAGCATAATCATGAATATTATACATATCAATATCATTCGATGGTAATTTTACTTCATTCAAAATAAGATCCGGTATCATATTTGCATCTTTTTTTCTCATAACAGTGAAAGGTGATTTGGCTTGATTATTAGTATGATTATGATTGTTATGATTATTATTATTAGATGTAGTAGTCAATTCTTCGCACGCATACATATTAGCTAGAGCAAATCAATTTTTTTATATTAAAAAAATAAATATGAAAAAGAAAAAAGAAAACACACTGATTAAAATTGATGGAGACGTAGACCAACCTTGTGTCAAGTGAGTTGTTAATGCCAAGTACACTGGCTAAAAAAAATTAGATTTTTATATTAAAAAACTAACTTAAATAAATAAATAAATAATATATCAAACCTTATGATCGCCCATACATACGTCGTCTCCAATAGTGTTATATGTTGGTTGATGAATCTAAAGATTTTATCAAGAAGATAAAATAAAATAATATGAACTGATTTTAAAATTTATAAAGAAGAATAACCTCGATATTAACAAATTTTTTGAAAGAATGACTTAACAAGATACGATCACACCAAGCTGGACATCGAACACGTAAATAAGAATGAGCGTCTTCGAGTTCTTCACTATATGGATAACTACAACCCAAAAAAAAGATACGATTTGTCATTTGACAAAAAAAAAAAACAAATAACAAAAAGAATTATTTATGTTTTCTTTTTGTATTACTAACCTCGGTGGAAAACTTTTTCCATATTCAAATAATTGATCAGCAAATGATGAAAATTCATAATCAAACGTAAGAAACTAAAATATATCATACAACAACAAAACAAAAAAACGTTTTATACATAAATAAATCCCAACATAGACGATACATCAACACTAAAGAATTTAACCATTACTATCGTAAAAAATTTGAGATAGAAATAGAAAATTTTTGTTCGAATCGACAATCTTTTATATAACTATCAAAATGTGAGTATATTGATCAGTAAAGAAAAAACATCAGAGACATCAGACATGAAGTCTACTGTTTTCTTTATGCTGATCAATAAATGGAAAGTAATAGCAAACAAATAAGTTTAATATATTATCAAATGTGTTAATATTACAATTTTGCAGATATTATACTTTTAAGAAAACTAAACTACAACGAAAAACTTTCGCTACTAGACTACCTATTATAGTAAATAGTGAAAAAAAGCTAAAAGAATCTGTTTGAAAGTTTATTTTTTTTCTCTAAAGAATCTCATGAAATCTTTTTTGAATACTTATAACATTTATATCTTTTCAATAGAATATTATTTAGTATTTTGTTAATATTTTTACCTGTTGAGAATCAATAGTAAAAAATGAATCATGATCATCATGAAGATTAAATTCTTTTTTTCCAATTGTTAATTTTGTTTTATTTTGAGCAGTTTTTATAATAATTTTTGAAAGTTCATCACTATCCTTCTTTTTTATTTTATCAATTGAACCATCTCGTTTTTCCGCGATATGCTGTTAAGAAAAAATTTAAAAAAAAAAATAAAATTTTTAAATTCATAATTTAAATATATTTACTTGAACTAAACGATGACCATCAAGTCGAAAATTAAAATCACCAAATATAGCATATGGTACATCTGCATCAGAAGGATTAAGTGGTAAACTAATTTATACAAATCATTATTAGAAAGAAAACTATACAACATATTATTAAAACATTCTTATACCATTTTAGAGTAAATTCTAGAGCATTTTTACGAAATTTACTGTATATAGAAGGACTCTGTTCAACTGCTAGAAGATTTGAAGCATCATGGAAAAGATGTACATTAACCATGTCAAAAATACTAATAGATAAAAAAAAAAATAAACATAGAAATAAAAGTTGTATATATATTTTTTTTAAATTTTTTTACAAATTATTTATTGACCAACGTGTTTGAGTAAAACCTTTTCGAGACCATTTTGCCTAAGAAATAAAATATTAGAAATATTTCTTTTTTTTTCTTTTTTTATATTATTTTTACTTCTGAAAAAAATTCTCGAGGAAATTTTTCTTTCCGCACAGTTTGAACATGAATCAAATTACCAGTTGAAATCTGACGATTCATAACATATTCAAAACATGAAGCTAATTGATAACAAAAAAAATAACATGAAAAATAAATTAACAAAAAAACTTCAATAATGATTTTGTTTTACTTGTAAAATTCCATTGTTGTATAGGTATATTCTGACGAATAAAATAAGCTGAACCAAGGGCCTAAAACATGTATGTATAATTAAAATAACTTCTGTTTTTCTTTTTTCATTTCTAGACAATATCTATTTACTGTAAATGTATCCTGAGATGTATAATCCGAATCAAAATAACAACGACAACGAGTAAAATTAGTAGCAATTTCAGGTATTTGAAGAATACCTCTATAAAAATTCAATATGAATTTTAAGAATAAAAGAAACTAAATGAAATTACTTAAGAAATGGATCGAGAACATGCATATAATTTTCATAATCCTTCCCGCCAACTTCTTGACAATGTAATGCAATAAAATCGGATGGATGACGATGTAAAAGCTAAAATAGATAAAATATAATTTTAGTTGAAATATTCATGCGCCAATTTAAATATTTTGCTTATTATTATTGTTTCTTTTAATTATTTTCTTTCTATATGACGATTAATAATTGGTTAAAACAAATATTTATACATTATGCATCATCAAAATCATCAAATCAATCTTATGAGAAAAATATAAATAAAATATCTATAGAACCTAATAATATCAATCGAAGTGATTCATTAAATACAACGTTGACTGATCGATGTCTTATTGTTGATAAACCATCAACAATGTCTGATGCAGATATAATGTATTGTAATGATAAAAAAAATCAAAATCAAAATTTTCTATCAAACAATGCAACAGAAATGAAATCACCAAAACAAAATACAATTATTCTTGATAAATTTAAAGTATGTTTTATTGATTGTGTATGTCAATGTGAAGTAAGAACATCCTAAATATAAACTTTTAAAATGAAAAAAAAAAAAAAAATATTTGATTTTCTTTGTTCTGTTTTAGGCAAGAAAAATATTTTCTCAGTTAAGTATAAATGAATGTAAGAATAGAAAAAGTCAATTATTTGAAGACCTTTTCGATCAAATACGTGGGTCATCATATGACATTAATTGTTTTTGTAATTGTGGAAAAAAAGGAATGAGAAAACTGAAATTTAACTATGCTTATGGTGATAAAATAAGCGCTATGGATTAATACTTGTCAATTTCTTTTTCTTTTTAATAAATCAATATCACTTATCGTGCTTATCGCGATTTTTTTTTCTCATGTCTCTGCCATTTTTGTTCGTCTCGTTACTTTAAAATAGAAACGACGATGAAATCACGTTCGTTTTTTTTTTTAGTATATTTATATACTTTTGATAAATGATACTCTCTTAATGTAACTTACATTTGCGAATTCGGTCATCCATGCATTTAATAATTCGGGCTAGAAAAAAGAAAAAGAAGAAAAAAAAAGCGGATATAAACATATAGAATAGGAAAAAGAAAAAGTAAAAGTAAAGATACCTTTTCAAATACTGTACCAGTATTAGCTGTAATTAATAAGAATCGAATATTTGATTGAGGTTTTAAAAAGAAATTTTCGTTATTCATGATCATTTATCAATGAAGAGTAAATCAATATATTGATTGTCCATAATGATGTTTGTTTTCATGTTTGCAATCTCTATTTATCTGAAGACATAATTCAAATGACAAACTCTTTGCCATGCATCCCATATGTACACAAAATTAGATAGAACTAGGCAAATATATCATATGACCTCATTTCTAAACGATGTATTATGACGAGACACAAATCAGTTGTAGTAAAAGAATAACTATATGAGTCGACACAAAAAAAAACAGGTGTGAATAATTAGTCAATTGATGTATAAAAAAAAAACGAAGAGATTTGCAAATTTTAGAAATATGTATAAATATAGACATCGGTTTGAATAGCTTTTCTATTGATAAGAGGAAATTATACACAGAGGAAAATATCATCTGCCCGATTGATAGTTTATAGGATAGCGGTATTGATGATGATGATGATATGATGATACATACTTGCCCAACGCCGTCGCTGTTGTTACGAGTCTTTTTCTCTTCGCTTTTACTCTTTCGTACAGTTGAATGTATAGCAGAACATATAAAGCAATAACGAGGCGAGCAAACGAGTAAGCAAAAAAAGAAAAAGAAGAAAGAAAGAAGGGAATCGACGCTGCTGTTGATGACGTACATAGGCCTTTTTCTCGTTTGACACACAACAACACCGTATTGCAGCAATCATCGACTTTCTTCTTCTCGGTTCTCCTATCTCATCAGGATAGCACACGCATGCATATACTATACAATTAAAATAGTACTTATATTGTTGCTTGTCGTTTAAATGAATGAGTATATCATTGTTCTGTCTCTCTGTATATACATGCATCGTATTTTTTTCATTCTTAGTTTGAAGTACACTCGATATGATGTGAGTCCTCGAATGACTTTACAATACAAAATACACATGTATGATGACGTCAATCGTGTACGACAATCACATGATTGACACAAAATTTTGATTTCTGCCTTCTTTTTTTCTGCTTACCTTCTTGAAACTAGATATATATGTATATTCAATAAATGCTAATCGAATCGCTAATGTCATCAATATAAGTAGCATTGGATGGGCTAGAGAGAGAAGAAAAAGATTATATGAGACCACCTGTTGTCATCATTTAGCGAATAGTATTTTAAAAAAGAGCATCATTGGTAATATGAGAGTATGAATAATCAATCTGTATGATTGAAAAAATAATGTCAGATTGGGTTATAATGATAATCGATGCTTTGATCAAACATTCAGACATTATCAACACTCAACTGTTTTATATTAATCATGCATTGAATCAACAATAAAATAGTTACAATGCATCCATGATATTATTTAATCACTTCTATCAACAGAAAACTCTCGCTCTATTTGTTTTCTCTTCAATACATACATATGACACCAGCAAAATATAGATGTAGGTTTATGTCTGCTGTTGACTTCTAATGATACGACATAATAACAAAAAAAAAAAAATAGTTTTGCATGCTGTTGCCTCATGCATGCAAGCATTATGCCATTTTTTTCTTATTTCTCACCCATAGCCTAACCATCGCCTTTTCTTTTATCGAACCTACGAAAAATATGAAGTATACAAACGCCTATATGACGATGAAAAACGTTGATGGATATAAGCAAACAATAAGTGAAAGAACGCATGATACTAGCATAATGCGTACATATAGATATGCATAGTTGTCCATTGGCGATCATATAATAACAAAGAAAAAAAAACCATAGGAAGCAAAGGTTATAGAAATTAGACATATGTTTTTCATTTACATTGACAATCTTCTTTTTAAATACAATTGCCCTCATATCTTTTAACATCGATAATAATAACAATAATATAGTTCTACAAAAATTGAATATTGATACATTAATGTTAAAAAAGTTTTTTTGTTTTTTTCTGTTTGAAAAGTAGAAAAAAAAAGAATAATTATAAATTCTTTTTTTTTTTCTTCATTGATACAAATTTAAATATATTAATATATATTTCGTATATAGGTTATTGTTACATACTTATGTATTAAAAAAAATACAACAGAATAATGAAGAGAAAATTATAAAGTGCTTTGAAAGACATGTCGAAAAATGTTGTCTTGCCATTTACAACTACTGTTTTTTATATGATTGATTGAGGTGTTTTTTTTTTTTCGTTTATCATATTTTTTTTAACAATAAAGAAATGAGATATATGTGAAAAGAGAAGTAAAAAGAAATTCTACATATATCACTGTTCTAATATTGGTGTAGCTGTTACATCATTTTTTGAGATAAAAAAAAAAGGAGATTATTTTGTCATTAAATTATCACATTTAGAAGATAAAGAAAAAGAAGTATTTGTATTATCCAAATAAATTCAATATGTAAATATATATTATCTTTTAACGATGAAATCGATTGACTAATAATTTAAGTTGTCCTTTTGAATCGGCTGTAACCATAACATAAATAGATCCATCTTTATTTGTTGAAGATTGAGCTTCAATTGGACTTGGTGTTGCATGTACACAAATAAAACGTGTTCGATTATTATTAACAATTGATGTTGTTGTTGTAGATATTGTTGTTGACAAAGAACGAGACATATTAACAGGATTATTAGAACGATTAGTTAAAGACAAATTATCATTTGATAATGGTATATTTGATGAATAAAGATAATCCATAATTGTCGTCGGATTTGGTGCAAATATTGCAGATGTTACCATTGTATTATGAACTAAAAATAATATTATTTCTTTTTTTTTCTTTTATTTAAAAAAAAAAAAGATTTAAATTACCTCGAATACGTTCAAAAACACGATCATAATGACGTCGTTGTTTTCGTGTTAATTTAGGATTTGTTGTAGTCGTACCATTTGTATTTAACATAGTACTTGGTTCAGTTTTCCATATATAAAACCAACTATCTTCACTTCCACTAAATATGTGTGTGTGTGTGTTTTTTTTGTATAAACAAAGAATCATAATTAGTAAAAAAAAAAAAAGGTCGATTCAAAAATAAAATTTTATACCTAATTATATATTGATCATCATGACTAAATGATGCACGAATTTGACTTGATTGATTTGAATAACCACGATATTTACGTTCAATTTCTTTTGTTCGAATATCATATAAACGTATTCGAGAATCATTAGATGTAATTAAAACCTACAAAAAAATTTTTATTAATAAATATTATTTCTTATAGATTTTAATTTATCATACTTTTGAACTATTTGAATTCATTGATTCAATTCCTGTTATTTTATATGGTTTACGACGTTTTTTACTTGATCTATGACTTCGATTACCATGTTTATCACCAATATTCATTACAGTCTTTAAAAAAAAAAAATATTCTAAATTAAATCAACCTATCAATATTAAAATAATACTTACATCATATTGTAATGAATCTGTATAGAGTAAAAATCGACCATCAAATGTACCAACAATAACTTTACGACCATCATCACAAAAATTAACAGCTGTTATTAAATTACCTTGAGGAGCAGCAGCAGTTATTGTTGATGATGCTTGTGTTGGAATTGATGTCCAATAAACAACACGTTTATCGGGAATATTCCAAAGACGAACATGTCTATATGAAGAAAAAAAATATATAAATATTTACTTAAGTATTCGAATTAATAATAATAATAATATTATCAGTTTTCAATCTAAGCAAAATATTTATATGAATTTGAAATTAATTACAAATGTAGAAAATATTCATTTCTCCTATTTGATATATGTCAAAAATTAGGATTTCAATATGAGCATAAGATTTTCAACAAAAAAAAAGCAGCATAAAGTTTTATTATTATTAGTATGGTAAATAAATTTCATTCACCATAATGATTAGATATTAATTATATTCACATAATAAAACATAGATAGCTTTTAGAAACAAAACAAAAAATCTCTTATACAAATATAGTACTCAATAGTTAATTGTAGCATATTTACCAATATCTAACTTATTAATTAATAAAAAAACAATTTCCAATCAAATAACTTTACTATGAAATTAATAATAATTGAATAAATATACAAAACAAAAACAAAAAAAGAAAAGTTTATTTCTTTTATATTAACTTACCCATCTAAACTTGCTGATACAAAATATCGATCATCACGTGGATGAAATGCAATAGCTGAGACAAAATCAACATGACGAAAAAAACATAAACATTCATGTCGACTTAAATGCCATAATCGTACAGTTTTATCCATAGATGATGAAAGAATAAATAAAGATTTTGACCAAGCAACATCAAGTACAGGTGCTTGATGACCAATAAGTTCACAAAATGGTCGTGAATAAAGTGGAGCTTGTATTTCATTAAGACCAAGTTTTGTATTTATTGTTGGTGTTATTAATTCTGATGATATTGTTTGATGAAATTCATTAAATCGTTTTTTTAATATTTCATTTTGTTGTTTAGATGAATTTGTTGTTATACGTGAAAAATCATTAAAATAAGGTTGTGCAGATTTAAGTATCCAAATTTTAAGTAAACTATCTTGACCACCGGTTGCAAGAAGATGACCATCAGGTGAAAATCTAGAATGAATTCAAATGAATATAAATTAAAATAAAAAAAAAACAAGATTCGAGTTTTTTTTTTTTATTTTTACTTCATACACCAAATAGGTCCATTATGTGCATTAACAATTGTTTGTAATAATTGTGTTTTATCAAATTGTGATTGTTCTTTAAAATTTCTTGATATTTTATATTTAAGATCACCATTTGAACCATCATTTATTAATAATTTTTCACCATCTTCTTCTTCATCATCAATATCAATTATATCATGATGTCCTTGTATATGTTTTTTATTAGATCGACGTAAAAAACTTCGACTAACTAATCTTGTTAATTGTCGTTTACTATCATGAAATAATGTTGTTGCTAATCGTATAGCAGCTGCTGATGTTTTATTTGTAGGTGATGATAATGACATAACTATTGTATGACTTGATTTTGTACTTGAAGATGCTGATGATGTAGATTCATTATCATCTTCTTCATCGTCATCATCATCATTATTATTGCCAATTGATTTATGTCGTTGACGTGTTAGACTTGTTTCTAAATTAGTTGTACCATTTATATTATTGTTATTATTATTATTATTATTATTATTACTATCCGATGAATTTTGTCTTAGATTATTATTATTATTTAATATAGAATTTTGACGTAATGTTATCATACTATTACTACCATGAACACGTTCCAATATTGTTTGTGTCATTGGATTAGTATCATTTAATTGAATATATTTACCATTATCAAAATTATGTATTATAGATTGTCGAAGTATGTCATTTTCATTTAATCTTTGATTATTTAATGATAAATCAACAATATTTGGTTCACTAATAGCTGATAAATTTGTTATTCGTGAATAATATCCATCGGTGTTACGATTTGATGTTGTTACTGGTAATGTTGGATATGGTAATGAACGTTGTTGTTGATATACTGACGCTGTAGAAAAGGAATTTATTAGAATTTGTTTTGGTGTAGATAATACTGGAAGCTACGAAAAAAAAACAAAAACAAGAGACATAAAAATTATAGGACCCATGAATAATTAAATTTTATCAAAATTCTAGAACTAAATAAGCAGTAAGTGAAAATTATGGTTGTTTTTTCTTTCGAAATATTAATTAAAAGAACATTTTAAGTATATCTTATAAACAAACTATCAATATCTCATATTATTAACTGAACTATGATTGATTAAATAGAAAGTGAAATACAGTCAAAGACAAAAGTTTAAATGAAAATGTATTTTTGATTTTTTCTATAATAACAAGCATCTAACTGAAATCCAAATAGTGATTCAGATAGCCAATGAAGAGCTCTATCAAATGCATCCTATACCAGAATTACATAGATGATTTAAGGTAGCAAGGTTTCTAGAAAACCCAAAATCGTATTTTTCAGGTCTCAGAAGACTTTTCAATAATTCGTTTCTAACAGTACCAACTTAAAGAACACAATATTCTGAAGAAAATGAAGGGTCGCCGTCTTTCCTATGACTTTCCTTTCAAAATTTATAAGCATTACAAAAACTGGAAAAAAGTGAAATTTATCAAGAAACCGCTAAAAATCGTATTTTTTCGATTTTTGTGATGCTTATAAATTTTGAAAGGAAAGTCATAGGAAAGACGGCGACCCTTCATTTTCTTCAGAATTTTGTGTTCTTTAAGTTGGTACTGTTAGAAACGAATTATTGCAAAGTCTTCTGAGACCTGAAAAATACGGTTTTGGGTTTTCTAGAAACCTTGCTATCTTAAATCATCTATGAAATTTTGGTATAGGATGCATTCGATAGAGCTCTTTATTAGCTATCCGAATCACTATTTGGATTCCAGTTAATTGCTTGTTATTATAGAAAAAATCAAACACATTTTCATTTAAACTTTTGCCTTTGCCTGTACATAGTTCTATAATAACAAAACAAAATCTAATGTCAAATATACAGGATGTCACTAATGTCCATCGACGAAGTTATTATAAATATCTTTTATACAATTCAAGTGATTTAATGTAGATTGTTCTATATATTTGTAAATAAATATCTGTACTAATGAAAATTGTTTTCTAAATGATTAAATTTGAATCATCTATAGTTGTGAAACACGTACAATGCAAGATTGTCAAAAATTACAGAAGAAAAAATTCGATGAAGTTTATGAAAAATGAACGATAATAAAATGTTCAAGTGGTTACGCTAAGACTTGTTTCTCATTATACAAATAAATTACATACTGTATGGTTTCAATAAAAAGTATTTAGTCATAATTCGATATACTGTTGTTTATCGAATGGAGCAAATTTTTGTTTCAAAATATTTTTGATCTTTTACTGTATTGAAATGTAACTTTAATACAATCATTATTTCATATGTTAGTAGTAAAATTGACTTGCAATTTTTTTTTTATAGACTTTTCAAACACTCTTTATTTTATTATCTATCTCAAAACTGATTAAATTTTTCAATAAAAAAAAACGAATAAAGTCTATTAAATATAATTAATTATTAAGTTCATACCATTTTTTGTCGACATATATGTTCATTATCAATATGATCTTTAAGAAGATCAGGAGCAGATGATTTATCTTCATTAATTGATAGTTGTTCTTCGATATGATTTGATTGACTAGGTGATAACGTTATTGATGATAATATAGAATTTGACTCAATTGGAGATGGAAGTATTGTAGTTATATGATTTTGACTATTTTGATTGACATGATCTTCTTGAGCACGTAATCGTTGAAGTTTATCACGTCGTGCAATATCATTTAATTGAGTTTCAGTTAATGATATTGTACAAAAATGTTCCTGATTCAAAAACAAAAAAAGAAATACATGATAATCAAACAATTTTAATATTGATCTTTGATATTATTAGAACTTACAGATTTTTTTATTGCATCATTTTTTGATAATAATGCCCAACGAGGATCTTGTGGAAGAGGTCTAATATTAGACAAATAGAAAAAAGAAAAGTCTATATTAGAATAATTAATTATTTATAATTTTTAACAGTTCGATGTTTGTTTCGTGTTTTTTTTTGCATTATTACAAAAACATAGACGTATGCTAATAACTAATTTAAGATAAAAATTCTCATGCTAGATAGATTATTTATTCATCGAAATGTTTATACTTAGATCGTCTTTTTCTTTTAGAAACGAAGGTTTTTTTTGAACTTAATAATTACAAAAAATCCAGCTTCATAACAGAAGAAGAAAACAAAAAAGAATGAACATTTTTAATGAGAGAATGACCTAGATAAGAATGTTTTTGAAGATAAGAAAATGAAATTTTGTTAATCTAGTTTAGGTTGATTTGCCATTCGAGGTAGAAATAATCTCATCGAGATTAATAATAAATATATATAATGAAAACATGCAAACTTAATTAAATTGATTAGATGAAAATTATTTCGAGGGATAAATAATTTAAACACGAGCGTGTCAAAGTAAAGGTTTATTAAAGAGAAAATTTTAACTAACATTCTTACTCTTATTCATAAAAATATTTAAAAAACAAATATCAGATAATTGAATTACAAAAAACGTCATCTAAAAAACCCAATTTTTCTTTATTACTTTCCTTATCTTGTAATTTAAAATAATGATAAGAGTAGAAGATGTTCAGAGAACGGATGAGATTATTCTAAACTCTAGCGTACTTCGATATAATGTTGCTTAAATCTTTACGAAGCGTTTATAACGCCATCTTATGATTCGAGGTGTTTTGGAAGAATACGAAAAAAATAATTTCGTACTTTTAAAATATATTCACTGAGTAAAAAGACATACGAAACATGTAAGCATGAGCAAAAACGTGGGAAAGTCCTACGAGTCTGGGTAAGATTTATTCTTTTTGAATAATTATCATTTTTCTGATGATGTCATAGATAACAATAAAGTATTTAATCAATAAACAAGTTTACAAAATATTTAACATATTATAAGAATCATGAAAATTATTTCAAAGGCAAAATATATTATTTTGAAATTTTTTGAAAGAGTAATAATAAATTTCGATAATTAATTCATATCTATATATGAATTCTTTGAAATATATTTAATTTTCATCAACATTTATATTCATTAATAATACGAAATTGTTAGTCATCAAACTAGATTCTTCTAACTTTTCATTTATAATTAATCTCAAAAACGTTGATTTTAGTCATCTTAAAGGGCAGTCCAAAAAAAAATTCTATTGTATAGTATCACTTCATCAAAATTCTCGATCATAAATAGCTGTAAATTGACATGTGATAAGTACAGTATTATGACCCTAGTTTATCGTGCTATAGACAGTTGATAACAATCATCAACTGATTAGATAATCAAGTACCCGACTATAAAATATGATCATACTACTGTGTACTATAAAAAAAAAACAATGAAAAACTCTCGAAAAACGATGACTATATTTATATTTGACTTCAAAATAAATAAAATAACTTACATTGTTACTTCATTATTAGTCCAACTACTATTAGCATCATAAAAAATTATATCATCATCATCATCTGTTGAACTATTTTCACTGTATGATGCCATTAATATAAACCATCTAAAACAAAACAAAAACAAAAATGAAAAAAAAAAGAAAAAGAAAAACTAATTCATTTAAAGTTCGTTAATATTATTTTGTAAAGTATCAAATAATTGATTTTCATCATCATTAAAAAAAATTTGTTCAATTTCTGATGTTGTATGTTCACCTAATGTATATAATGTCATTGGTGTTGATATTGATTTAAATTTATTAGAAATTATTTGTTTAATTGTATCTATATCATAAGTTTTATCTTGTTTATTATTATCTTCATTATTTGTTTTAATTAACCATTGACGTATATCAACTAATTTTTCAATTTCATTACCATTTGGTTCATCATATTTTTCTAAGAAAAATTCATGAGAATTTTTTGTTTTACATTTAAGTTTTTGATTATAATAATTTTCTAATAATAATTTTAATTCTTCAACATTAGAAAATTTATAAAAAAATTTTTCTCTATCATCTTGTTCATCATATTCATCTATTGTTTCATAAACAAATATATATTTATTATCTTGAAAATAAAGTGTTTCAAATGGTATTGATGAATTTGAATCACATATAATTATACGTGCATATTCAATTAATTTTAATGTATTTATTTGTTCATTTAATAAAATATTTTTTGATTGAAATAATTTTTTAACATGTTCTTTTTCTAAATCTGTTAATGATAAAAATGGATGATTATCATTATATTCATATGCTAATGGATGTAATTTAATAAGATGTGAATATTTTAATGTTAATATATATTCAATTATATCAATATTTGATAAAAGACTATATGGTGCATTAATAAATGAATAACTTGGACAAATAAGAATATCATAATTATTATCTAATAATAACTTTTCATTTTTTGTTCGAATATAATTTGTAAATGTTATTGGTAAACAATGTGTATATGCATAAGCACAACTTTGACAACCATACATACAATGTCCAACAGGATAAATATCAATAATTGATGAAAAATATTCTTGTATTAAATGAAATAAACGTAATTGTAATTGTCCAAATAAATAATTTGTTGATGCTGTTAAAAGAATAACTATTTTTCGATATTTTTCTTTAATTAATTGTAATATTATATTATTAATACTAAATTCATATATATGAATTTTTTTATTATTAATAAAATAATTTTTTATACGTTCATATGCTGGATTCCATTTATAAATAAATAAATGAACATCTGTATATGATGAAAATGAATGAACTAATTCAGCATGAGCATAACCAGTATGATATGGTACAAAAAAAGTTAAATTTTCTGACATATCTAAATTGCTTTTTTTTTAAATTATTTAAGATTGAGATTTGATAGATAATGAAATATTGAACAGAATAAGTAGAATAATATTATGGGAAAACAAAAAATTGTGTGTGAAAAGAACGATTACATCTCGATTGGATATTTAAATATATATATATTAAGTTTTTTTTTTGATATGTTACTAGATGTCACTGTAAACTAGTAATCATTCAAACTTGATTGATGTATGAGCAGTTGTTTTTTTGTACTTGTTTTTATTTCTTTTACAAAAGTCATTTCAGTTGAATGATAAGTTGTAATTAAACTATTAATAGTATTTAATATTTAAAAATAGATGGAAATGTCAAATAAAATTTTATTAAAAGATTTTATAAATTGATGAAACCATGAATTGTTAATAAAACATAATAAAACACTGTATAATCAATAATTGTTGATGGTTTTATTAGAATCATGTATTATCATGTATAAGCTTTACAGCTATTGTAAGTTGTTATATTGGAACGTTTGCTATTTGTTCTTTTTTTTTTATCTGTTGTAATTTGAGAAGGAACAGTATGCTTTAAATATTCATATGAATAATACAAAACATTATAAATTAATAAGTATAATTGCGCAGTAGCTATTTTAAATTTTATAATGAATGTCATGCAATAAATCTATGAGTTTACGTTCGTACTTGTTTACTCGCTATGTGTTTTTCTTTTTTTTACTTTTAACTTCTATTTAAATGTACTCAATGATGCTTCGTATGATGTGAATTATTTAAATGGAAAAAAAATAAGCAGCAGATGTCTTATTTTCTACATTGAATTATTGTGATAATTAGATTATGAATAAATTTCGACTTATAAATATATGAAAAGGTTTTTCTTTTTGTTCTATTTTCTCTTTGATTAAAAGCACATTGGAATTAGACATATAAAACAGTGAAGCGAAACTAGTTAATAAAGATGACATGTATACTTCTAGCAAAATTTCATATTATTATCAGCAATTTAAAAGAGTTTTATAATTAAGTTACCTTTATCTTTTTTTGTATCTCTGACGGTGTATTAGTTGAAATGAAATTAAGAAAGTATGATATTGGACATCTAACTTACAGATTGGTTCGATGGTGTCGAAACAACAGGAAATTCAAATAATGAGATACAATATGTAAGTTTACTTTAAGAAGCAAAGTATATAAAACAAACAATATGACAACTCATAGAACAAATGTAATAGTCAAGAAAATCACTGAGTCATAAAACTATGAAACAATATTTTTTTTCAGATTGGTTATTAATATACTTTCAGAAGTAGACATTCTGTAATCATAGAAAAAAAAATGATGATACCTATATTTGTCTTAATTAGACATGAGTAGAACTAGTCACTTTTGTTCTCGGTTCCGACCATAAGAAAACTTCGTTGCGATCTCTATTCTGAAACCGGAATTAGAATCATCTTGCTCATATATAGTCTTGATAAAATGAGACAGGAAATAATGTCATTACTTTTAACGTCTTCTATATATATATATGTCCTAGACAGAATTTAATAAGACGCAAAACTACAAAATAATTTACTTTTACTTAAAAAAGAAACTCTCATACTCACTACGCACCTATTTTTATTTTAAGTAGACAGAGCATTCATTTTCCATTTATTCATATTCTAATGTATGCATTCATGACTTCTTCTGTGTTGACATCGGAAAAGGATTTGCAAAAATAATTTTATGAAGAAGTGAAGAAATATTTTAAGTTTATTGAGTATTAAATTTCAAGAGGGTGCAGTTATTATTCTACCATTGAGAATACATAAGCTTAAAAACAACCTATATTTTTTTGTTAGGTTGGAATATAACTCAACAAAACTTACCAACATAATATTTTTTACAATTTACACATTCTATATGTATTACGATAAATTCGAAAGCAAATAAATATCGATAAAAAAAAATATTGCTCAAAAAAACATAACCTTAAAGATCTTTTCTGTTTTTTTTTATGCAGAGCTTTCTATGACTAACTAGATTTCAATTGAATATATTCGTGAACTCTACAACTTCTTAGATTTAACTTGACTTCAAATTGAATAATACATTGAGTATTACTATTATTCAATACGGTTTATTCTCAACTTCTTTTATCGATACTATAAACGCTAAAAAGAATTCAAATAGTAATTTGAATAGAGAAAATTGTTTTCAAAAGGAATGCAACAAAGTAAAAACTATTATGAAATTCTTAAAGATAAAGACTTCAAGAAAACCAAAAAGATTAGTTTTTTTTAGTACCTCAAGTGCATAAATATAATTTTGTTTAGACTATCCAGACGATAGATCGAACAATTGTCTACAAAATGAAATATTGTCAAGTTCTCTGTGACATTTTTCAGCTGACATACAATAATCTTACGGAAGTCCCTAAAGTCATTTTTTTTTCAATTTCCTATAAAAAAAATCGCGCCTTTTTAACTTTTAATCAAAATGCTATACATTAGCAAATCATCGCCGCAGAGAGTTTCGTGATGTCTCATTTCGTGGAAGATGGTTTATTGTATCGTTTTATGTAGTTAAAACAGAATAATGTTTACGTGTTCTAGACAATGAAAAACTCAGACTACATTTTTTCTAGAGTCTCTATCTTTGCGAATCAGATAATAATTTTTATACTCTTTCTGAAAACCTTTTTCTCTATTCGAATTAATATTTCTACTTTTTGCTAACGTTCACAGTAGCGACAAAAATCGAAAATAAATCCTGTTGAATAATTTTAATACTAGTTGTATATAAATAACGGAACTCGAAATGACTCAGGTAAATCAATGTTTATTAATGTCAGCAATAAAGTAATTTTTTTTTATTACTCTATTTTGATTGTCAAAAAATGTTTATGTCACATCAATATCTTGATGATTATTAAGAAATAAATGTAATATGAAAGATAAACTGAGCACTGACCTATTTGATGCAAATTTTATTAAAAGCACGACAACGAAGAAGAAAATGTTTTCTCTTTCTAGCATTGAGAACAAATTTATGACATAGCAGAATGAAAGCGGATGTAAAGTTATATTAAAAACTCTAGATTCACATATGCATGATAATAATCGATGATTACTTTTTGTTTCTTTCTCAATGTCGATAAGAGCTCATGCATGATTGATCAGAACTTTTCTTTTTCTTTTATAACAATCATTTTACCAAAGAATTGTCAATCATGTAAATAAAATATCAGTGTTTAATATCGATAATTGAATAATTATTGAAAGAAATCAACATTTTTATAAATGTCAGTATTATTTTTGAATATTGAGAATACCAAAAAAAAAAAAAACCGAAAAGAACAAAAATTTGTTCTTATTATTCATTGAATTTTTTTTTTTCTCTAGACTTTATTGTTATCAGAACATGGCATAAACTTAAAATAAAAAAGAAGTAAATGGAAATGTTCATAATAGAATAAGTAAAGAGAAAAAAAAGCAAAAACATTAAATTAAAGCTTGTCTTGTTTTTCCTTTGTGTAATTTGATAAAAATCTTGATTAATAAAGTTGATATTATATCTAATATAATTACTGTTGTTTTAAATATTTTTCTATGGCTTTTGAATCACGTTTAAGTACTTCAGAACGCATATGAATTGTTTCAAGTACTTTTTTGACTGGCCGTGCAACGATTGGTGTATTCATTGTATCAAAAAATGATTTGATTTCACTTGCTATTTTTTCATCAGCAAAATCAGATAAACCATACTAAATCAAAAATTAAAAAAAGCAATTTTCGATTAACAAAATAAAAATTTAAATAAATATATTTATACCTCAACAAAAGCAATAAGAAAATTACTCTTTTCACCAAAACTTTCAACAAGTGTTTTCCAATTTTTTTGTAAAAATTTCCAAACTAAATCTCGTCCATCACAACTTGATGTACAACCAACAAAACCTGATATTGAATCTTGCATTCGAACATTATCCTATATAATCAAATTAAAAACAAAAAACTCAAGCAACATTAAAAAAAATTGAAGTACTTAAATTATATAACATACTCCTTCAAATACAAATTTTAATGTATTTTCAATAATTTCCGGTTTAATTGATTGACCCATTGCACGAAGTAATCGAACTTTTTCTTCTGTCATATCTGCTGCAACATATAACTAAATTAAAAAAAAAACAAAAGCATACATAAATCCTTGGGTTTTTAATCATTATTTTCATTACTTTACGAAGTTCTTCTTGTGTACTTTCATCTCCATAACGTGAAACAATAGTATAAACAGCTCCACGAATATTTGGATCAATTAAATCTCCAGCAATATGACGTTGAAAACGTTTTTTTGCTTCATCAATTACACTTTGATCACCAGATTTACCAACCATAGTTAATATCATTGGACGTAACATAGCTGAAAGTGGATCTTCACTTGGATTAGCATCCCAACCAAGTTTTTTTTGTATTGATGAAAATAAATTTAAACGATATTTTTTAAAGTCATCAAAATAATCTGTATATTCAAGTAATGATGATAAATCACCCATATTTGATGCTAAAATAAATTTTCATTAATGAAACGAAGCAACAAAAGAAAAAGAACAATATTCGTTTAATAAAAGTTTCATAATGATTATATATGAAAATATTAAAGTTTGTTTTCTTCTCAATCAAAAAGAAAGTATTCCATCTTCTGTGATCACAATGATATCACAAGATGGTTTGTGTGTTTTTTTTATAACGAGAAATATCAACTTTAATATTATCATATCAAACAATGAAACAATTCTTAAATGAATACGAAAAACAAAAAAATGATAATTTTTTTTTTATTTTTACCAATTGCTTTCCATACAGTGAAATTATCTTCATCTGCATATGATGGTAAAAGTTTAAGATAATCAACAAATGATTGATGACCAGCATTACATAAAGCAGCAACATCATTTTGTACTATAAGACGATCTTGTGGACTTAATGTTTTATTAGCAATTGGTTCATTAAGACGTGCTAATGTTTGCGATTCATATTTAACACGATAAAGACCAATTGAATTATAATTTAATTTAATCCAATCATCTTCGGAAACATTTTCTAATGTTATTGTTATTTCTGGTTTATCCATTAATACTTGTTTTGCAACTTGTTTTGGATTAGATTTTGTAAAAACAGTAATGGGAATTTTCCATTGAAGATTTTCATCATCAGTACTACCATCAGCAATAAAACGTTGTTGTTTTATTTTAAGAATACGATTTTTATTAGTTTTTTCTTCAATTACAGTTAAAAGTGGATAACCCTAAGAAAAAATATATGTAATTATTTTATTGATTGTATGAAAATAATCTTTTAATAATTATATTCAAATAATTTTCAAATTGTATGATAAAAAGAATGACTAATCAACATAAGAAGACAATTATATGTTGTACCTTTTTCATAAAGACTTTATACTAGTTGACAAATATTCTATTCAGATCGTGTGAGCCAACGTTTGAGCTATTCTATTGAATAACACTGATAGTAAGTTTTATGTAACATTTACTATAGAACTGTACAGGAAGATTTCTTTCAATTGATAAGAGATTTACAAAAAAAGAGAAAACTTCTTTGATAAATATCAATTTTCGTTTTCTCTATGAAATGAATTGTTTGTACCTTGAGCGAAGAATATGATTTTTAAAGGACAGTTTACGATGAAATATGACACGTTAATGAAGTCCTCAGGACGATAATTACAGTCAACAAGACGACTAAATATGATACTATCTCCTGTCATTTCGTAGTTTGTAGTCGTAACTAATATTTAATAGGTACAATATGATGGTCGTATTTGATTGCACCGTACAAAGTGGATAATGATCGTAATGCCACGTCTATCCCACGGCAAAAAGAAAAACATATAAACAAACTGTGCTTATTTGATCTACGTGCCCTGATTGAAGAATACATTCTATAGACGACATTTATGGGGACATATGACACACTAACAAGCTGTATATTCCCGAAAATATAGGATTAATCATACAGCTGTATGTACAGTAGAATACGGCATCATTAGTCATCTTTATCCCATAATACTAAGTGTATTATAATGACATAATAGGGCATAGAAACGCTTGTTTACGGTAGCGTTAGGATGATTCCTAATGATTCATTCGAGCAAGTGGGCAAAAAAAGGTGATTGTTTTTATCTTGAAACAAATATTTCACATACCATTTGAAGTGTCCATGATGACATAACTTCATTAACTGGCTTATTTGATGCTTTAGCCAAATGTGACCAAAGATTTTCGGTAACTGTATTTTTATAACTATATTCTGTTAAATAATTATGAAGTCCTTTGCGAAAAGCATCATCACCAATATAATCATGTAACATACGAATAACTGATGAACCTTTTGAATATGATATAGCATCAAAAATTTCATCGATTTCAGCCGGATGACCTTGACATCAAAAAATTACAAAAACAAATTTCAATATAAAATATCAATAATAAAGAACTTACCAATAGGTACTTCAATAGGATGTGATGATTTTAAAGCATCTGGCACAAGAAATCTTGCAAATGTATCGGCAACGAATTGTGTCCAAATGTCAAATTCTGGATAACATTTATCAACAGCTAAATATTCAATCCATGTTGCAAATCCTTCATTAAGCCCTATAATAATATCATACAACATATTAAAACAAATAAATTTTGTTAAACGTACATAAATCAGTCCACCAATCCATAGTCTATATATTAAAAAACAAAAAAAAAATCAGATTTTCATCGAAAAATTATATCATACATACTACTAAATTGCCAAACCATTGATGTGCAAGTTCGTGAGCAACAACAATAGCTACACGTTGTCGTGTATCCATTGATGAAAATTTTGGATCAATTAAAAGTGCTGTTTCTCGATAAGTTACTAACTAAATATCAAAAAAAAAAAAAAAAATACAATCATAGTTCTAAAAATTAATATTATCAACTTACACCCCAATTTTCCATTGCTCTATAATAGAAATCAAATTAAAACTTTCTTTTTTTTTTTTTTTTATTTAAATCATTTCTTACCCCATAGCAAAATCGGGAATAGCTATTTGATCAGCTTTTGCAATTGGATATTTAATATTAAAATATTCTGCATAAAATGGAAGAACTTTTGCTGCAGTCTAGAAATATTTACCAAAAAAAAAAAAAACATTTCATTTATTAATTTTTATTTTGTATATCATACATCTAATGCAAATTGTCCATGTTCTTTTTTTCCCATTGGTGTATAAACTTTCATACTAACACCATTTGAATCATTTGTTTCAACGTAATCATATTCACCAACAACATAAGCTACAAGATATGTACTCATTATTGGTGTACGATTAAATTTTGTTATTTTCCATTCTTTATCATTGGCATATTCATTTTCCGATTTAATTGGCTAGTAAAAAAAAAGAAAACAATACAAAATTTAATAGATAACATTATTGTCAGAATCTTTATTCTCAAAGACAAACATGTCTATCACAAAGATAAATCAATAAAATTCGTTCTTATAAAAAGTTTAAAAATAAATAATAAAAAGAAACCTTATCCTTCTTTCTTGTTCATGTGTTTATATATATAAGTACATTTTGAATCCTATATCTATACAGGGTGGCACATAAGTTACCCGTCACTTTTCAACATTCGAAAAAGGATGTGTCACTGTATAATTCCATGTATTACTCAATGGCCTCGAATGATAATCAAATGGTAGATCACTAGTTTTCTGGAAAGTAGTGATATCATAGAGGTTCAATTCTATGAAGTAAATGAGACCTGTGTACCCCATGATTCACGCTCATAGCCTCATTCTCTAGTGTTCCACCCATAGCTTTGGAATGCAAGAAGATAAAAGTTTCGGGAATGAAGCTGTAGGCGTGGATCATGGGGTACACAGGTCTCATCCATTTCATAGAATTGAACCTGTATGATATCACTACTTTTCCAAAAACTAGTGATCTACCATTTGATTATCATTCGAGGCCATTGAGTAATACATGGAATTATACAGTGATACATCCTCTTTCGAATATTGAAAAGCGCAGCTCTCTATCTTGTTCCTATCAAAAGTAACGGGTAACTTATGCGCCATCCTGTATATTCATTAGTATGACTTTTGTATTAATAGAAGATCTATAATATATAACATCGTGTCTCTGATACAAACAAATTTTATATCATTGTCAAAAAACAAAAACCAATGAAAAGATGGTTCTGCAGGTTGATTCTTCATTCTGGTAGGAAGAATCATTTTGATTTCTTTTCCTATGTACTACAAAAATAGATGATTGTATGAAAATTTTCAATAGAATGCAGAATTTAACAAAGAAAATGATCCTTTGACGTTTTGTTTTTGTTTTACTACAAATTACTTACCATATTTGAAATAGCACGAAGATTTTTCGGTGTAATTAATGTAATATCAAATGTAGCTTTAAAATTTGGCTCATCCCAACATGGAAATGCTCGTCGACAATCAGCAGGCTAAAAAACAAAATAATATATCAAATGAAGAAAATAATAATAATTGTTTTTTTTTTTTTACTTCAAATTGTGTACTAGCTCCATAACGAACTTCATTACTATCACATGCTGTATGTTTAGTTCGATAGAAACCACGCATACGATTATTTATTTCACCAACAAATTTTAATGCTAATTCATAATCACCTGTCTACAAAAACAAAAAAAAAATAATTGAAATATTTCTATTAAAAATAACTTATTTACTTCAAGTTTTTTATCGAAATTGACTGTTATACGTTCACCTTCTTTATCATAATCAATTTTACCATCTTGTTCATCTGTAAAAAAAAATTAAATAAAAGAAAACAAAAATAATTTTATTACCATTTGAAGTTGATTTAACTTTAGCATTATCAACTTCTAATTCAGCTGCATAAAGTACAATACTATTTGTTGGTTCTTTAACCTAATTCAAAAATGAATTTTTTTTTTCAAACAAAAAATAAAATTTTTGAAACAAACTTGTAAATGTATATTAACATCTCCATTAAATTTAAATTTATCAAGATATGCTTGAATTGTTAGATCATAATGTGTTGGTACAATTGTTTTAGATAAACGTTGAAATAATGGTTTTGCTTCTTCAGTACTATGACCAGTCATCTTTAATCTAGAATTGAAAAAAACTTAAATAAAAAAAAAAAGAACAGAAAATGAATGATTTATGAAAGACATTTTAATATCTTCAAAAGATAACCTACTTGCTTTGTGTACTTTGAAAACGTTTTGTTTTATTGTTAAGAAGAAAATACGAAGAAGAAGAAGAAGAAGAAATGGATGGAATAAATGATAAATCGATGAAATTTATACTTATAATACGATATAGTATTTGAGTACGATTGATAAATGTATTCATTCACAAAAATGAAATAGAATCGTGGTTAAATACACGAATAATTTCCTTTCAAAAAAAAAGAAAAAGATTTATTTTTTATATGGAGGATAAGATACAATAAATAAAAGTTTATTTGTTCTATATTATCAAATAAAAAATAATATAAGATGATCATAACAAAAAAATATAAACTGTTTTCTAATTATCATTTATATAAAAGAGATAAAAATTTTATATTTTTGGTTTTTTTTTTATACAATAGATGGTGCAATAAGTTGGTTATGATAATCAAATAAGATGAAAAGATTTTTTTTATTTCATTATTTTATTTTTAATAAAGAAAATAATTTTTTTTTAGAAATTTTTTTCTTTTTGAAAATATTCGAATGAAATTGCTTAGCAACATGATCAAATGAAATCGATTAATAGCTTTACATTTAAGCGGATTAGAATTAACATAAATAAAAAAAACAAAAATTTATGTGACATAATATTTGAAAATGTAAATTTGATTTTGAAATTTTTCAGAAAATAAATTTTCAACAGATAAATAATGTCGTCGGAAAACAATGATGAACCAAGCCCATCACCGACAAAAAAACCTATTACTAATAATAATACTAATAATTCAGGTTTAATAGTTTGTTTTTTTTTGTAATTTTTCTATTTTTGCATTAATAAAAGACTTATTTTTTTGTTTTGTAAATAGATAGCGAATCTGATGTTAATAATGAGCATTTAATTGGAAATGTACAACGAGTAGCAATTGTTCCACCGAATTATGAAGGAAAACCAAAAAAAGGTCATTTAATTTTTGATGCGTCATTTGAATGTGGTATGTTTAAATAACAAAAACAAAAATTTTTTTGTTTTTTTGTTTTCTTAATCGTAAGAAATAAATATTCTTAATAGGTAATTTGGGTCGAATTGATTATGTAAATGATTTTGAATATGATTTATTTATTCGACCTGATACATGTTGTCCTCGTTTTCGATGTTGGTTTTTATTTACTGTTGAAAATGTCAAAGCTGATCAAGTAAATATCTATAAGATAAATTAAATAATAAGAATAATAGATTTTTGTTTGATGATAATAGAGATGTTTTTGTTTTTTTTCTATTTCGAAAATGAATTTATATATATATATATTTGTTTTATTTCATAGAGAGTTATCTTTCATATTGTTAATTTTTCAAAAGCCAAATCTTTATATCGTGATGGTATGACGCCATTAGTTAAATCGACTAGTCGTAAACGATGGTAAATAAAATGTTTTTTTCTTTTTAAATTAAAGAAATATTAAATTATTTCATATTCAAAGGCAACGTTTACCAACAAGAAATGTATTTTATTATCGTTCTCCTGATCATAGAAAAAATTATGTTATGTCATTTACATTTTGTTTTGATCGTGAAGATGATGTTTATCAATTTGCATATTCATTTCCATATACATATACTAAACTTCAAAATTATCTTGATAGTATTGATCAACGTCGATTAGATTATGTTCAACGTCGACCATTAGTTTATAGTGTGGTAAATTTTTTCATATTTATCAATGCAATCGTATTCGAAGTCTAATCATGAAATTCCAAAAAAACTGATTAATAGAACTAGTCTTGTAATTTAGAGTTATAACAGATTCAGATTTATTGAAGTAGTAATTAGTCTTCTTTTAACTGAAAAGAATTGGTTATTTTTTACTAATAGAATATATTGAAAGTAAGTTTAAATGTTCATATCAAATATAGTTGAGCTAAGATTTTCAACTTATTTTTTTTTTTTATATTAATGTTTTATTAAAGATGAGACTTCAATTTTGACAATCATTCGATGAGAAACATTAGACTTTTTTTTTTCTTTGTAAAATCTAAATAGAAAAATTTAAGATTTGTATTTGATAATCAAATGTTAAGTAAATGATTCTTTTGGTTTTATGTCACGTCTTTATATTAGCAAATTTCTACAAATATAAATGACTGTAACATAATATTTCCTTTTTAAGATTTGCAAAAATCAATATAAAACAAAAAATAAAAATAAACATGTTTTTTGAAGGTACTTTTTTTTAATCTATTACTGATTATCTAATAAATCGATTAATTTTTACCAATTCGAAATATTTTGATGAACTAAGAAATTCTCTTTGATTATAATTCTATGGATAGAATAGAGAAAAAGAAGCTGTAAAGATTTGATTTAAAACTTTCATTTACTATTGTATAAACAAATAAAATAAACATTTTTATTCTTTTCTTTTAGCAAAAACGTCGACTTGACTTATTAACTGTTGCTAATCCATCGTTATTAGTCAAAGGAAGACGAAAAAAAGTTGTAATTGTTACAGCACGTGTACATCCCGGTGAAACACCATCATCATATGTATGTCAAGGTTTTATTGAATTTATAATAAGTGATCATCCAATTGCACAAGTACTTCGTGATAATATTGTGTTTTATATTGTTCCTATGCTCAATCCCGATGGAGTTTTTCTTGGTAATCAAAGGTTAACATATCGTTCTCTTGTTCTTTTTTTTTTTATTATGTATTAAAAATTTAATTTTTAATTAGATGTTCATTACTTGGTTTTGATCTTAATCGTGTTTGGCATGAACCATCGATTTGGGCACATCCAGAAATCTATGGTATAAAAACACATATTATGAAATTAAATGAAGATATGGTTTGTTAATAATATTCTTGTTTTGTGGTTTTTTTTTTATGTTTTGTGTTTTTAGGATTTTGAACTTGACTTTTTTATTGATATTCATGCACATTCAACAATGATGAATGGTTTTATGTATGGAAATGTATATGAAGATGCAAATCGTTTTGAAAAACATAGTATTTTTCCACGTTTATTATCTCGTAATGCAGAAGATTTTTCAATTAATAATACAACATTTAATCGTGATGCATTAAAAGCTGGAACAGGACGACGGTAAATTGATTGTAATTCATATGAATATTTTATTCTGCTTTTTTTTTTTTCGTTTTTTATTGTTCATTTAAGAACACTTGGTGGTTGTTTACAAGACAGTACACATTGTTATACATTAGAAGTTTCATTTTTTTCATATCAAACATCAACTACTTCTCAAGCGATACCTTATACTGAAGAGTTATGTAAGTTACAACATTTAATTTAATTTCGTCTTTTTTCTTTTTTCTAAAGTATTTGCTTTGTATTTATATTTAATAGTGCAAAGATTGACTTCATTCTTTTTTTTCTTTCTATCGAGAGAACTCATAAATTTAGATATAGATAGAGATATTACATCATAAAAAGGATATAAAATAAATTTTGATTCCCTCAAGCAATCTTCTTTTATATATATATATATATTGTTCTTTTGTTGATATTCATAATGTATAATCTAGATTAACACTAGATGAGAATTGTAACTTTCTATGTATTATTTTTCAAGTACCGATAATTTGAAATTTATTGTGCAGCTTTTTTTTTTTATTGTCATGGTTGAAGAAAGTTTATCGAGTTACTTGTAGATATCTTGTTTCAACATATTCATACAATATTTTTGTAGTAAACTTTAGCAAAATCAGATTAAAAAAAAAATAGACAATCCTGTAGAAAATATAAAAATCATGCATGTTTTTCGAAACATATTGTGTGATTGTTGAAAAAATCAAGTTTTTTTGATATGATAGCAATAAATACGGGTTTGTATACTAAGGTATTGCCGATTACAACTTCAGTTTTGAAAGAAACAAATATCATGTTTGAAATATGTATCGAATTGTATATTCAATATTCAAAACTAATTTTTGTCGAACTTCAATCATAGAAGAAGTACAAATCACAGTATTCAAGAATAAAACTAAGCAGAATAAGAGTTGAAATCGTTTTCTTTTTTCGAAATTGAAGTACTAATGATTGAAGTCTTAGAATACAAATCCATATTTATGACTTTTTTTATTGCTATCATTTCGAAAAAAATCTATTTTCTTAATAATTCAACATTATTTTTTCAAAAACATTTTTATTACATTTCCAGGGACTACAGACACTTGATACTTTTTTGACATATTTCGATTTGTATAAAATTTTCTGCTTTTTTCTTTTAATCTAATTTTCTCTAAGCTTCACTACCAAAAAAAAAATACAAAGTAACTCAATGAACTTCATTCAACCATGAGAAAAACAAACATAAAAATTTTCTCTCAATTTTCAAATAGTCGGCAGCTTATACAAATACAAACAATGTCAAAATCACTACAAAAAAGAAGTTTGAATTATTTTTAGAAACACTTTTCATGCTTTATTAGTCAAGTCATTAAAAAAAAAGATACTGCTTGAAGAAAGATTAACAAATAATATTGTTTTCAAGAAAAATAATAATAATAATAAATCATCCATCAATATTATTCTATGTACTTAGTAACTTGTTCTATCATTTATTGTAATAGATTGACATTTTTTTTCTTATTTTATGAAATATTGAATAAAGAAAACTTATTTTGATCTATTATTCAATATTCTAGTTTCATTTAGTTAAAAAAAAAAAGAAAAGATATAAAAGCAAATTATTCAGCTACTATAAGAACAAGTTGACTTTTTGATATGATTCATTAGTATGGATAGTTGTTTCTCAAAGTTATTAGCACACTAAATACAAAACAAGAGCGAACAGTTGTTGTTTTTATTGAGAACTATATGAATGTATAACAGATCTGGAAAGCGTCATGGACGTCAAATTAAAAGTTACTCGTCGTAAGCGAATAATCGAACGATTAAAATTTTTT